ATGCACCCATTAATATAAGCAGATTAAAATAATTCCTATTTTCTGAATATAAATTTAATGTATTTATTTCTTAATGCTTACACTGATTTACAGTTAGTTTCAAATGATTATTTCTTATCGTCGAATCTGGCCACATATGCCTACAGTATATTTAGCTCCATGCTCTGGCTTAATCGTCAATATCCCAAGTTCGACGAATTGTTATGGGTCGAACGGTCGAGCGGCCGAATCTTTTTTTTACCCGTACTGAATCAGGCAATCTTCGCTGAATTACGAAACATGTTTCTTTTAAAAAATCTAAGGCATACAAAAGTGAAAGGAAAATCATGTGTAAAAAAGGTATTCAAAAGAATAGCTTACGGAATTTCTATTTTTCGAAGCCACGATAATTGCAGGTTTAAAAAAAAAAAAAAAAACATTTTCCGGTAAATTTTGTTACGGAGCTCCATACTCTTTTGTAAAACATTTTAGGGCAATTTTATTGCATAAATGTAAATCAGGAATTTTATTTGATTAAATATCTATCTTGTGTGTGTGTTTGGGTTTGTTTACCCTCGCCACCGGAAAGAGACCATATGGGCGAGCATATACTTCATTTATAACCTTTTAAAAAGGGGGAGCTGATGTTTAATTACTAATTGTTATATCCGTACATGTGTTTATGTGCATACCATATCCCCCATGACAGGGTAGTCTCTACGTACAACCTCTGCCATGGGAGGAAGATGGGGCAATCCCATACTAAGTTTGAGAAATCTAAAATTTAATAATTAAAAGCACTTAATTTAAAATCGGCCAAGACGTTTATATAGGTTACCGTCTTTTATAACAGGACTAATTAATATTTAATATAACTAAAATTTTTTAGAAATTTACCTATAATTGTAGAGTTCGCATACTTATGTGCGAGAAGGCATGTCAGGAACGTTTTCTGACCATTTCATTGTGGGCTGACTGTTATTTATGTTGGTTTCTATTTAAATGTTATAAACCGTATACATTGGGATGCATATAATTAATAACATGTTTGTAATTATCACAGTTTATTTTAATTTTGTTAATTTTGTAAGTTCTACCGAACACCCGCTTTACAAAGTTAATTTTGATTGGTTTAGAGAAGATTGCCTCCTTTGTCCTCATTGGTCTAAAATTTCTTCTTTCTAAATAAGGAGGTCAATCCGATTTTCTTGAAGTTTGTGCAAGTTTGTGTGTTGACCTATTTCGACAAGTTTGTCGCGCGGACTGGATAGAAATTTTGCGGGTGCCCGTTGCATTCCAATGTATACGAGTTTTTACCAACTTTATTTCTAAATTAAAACAAATATAATAATTAAAATGTGGTGGAAACGGCCTTATCTATTTATCACTGTCTCATGGTATATAAATTATTATGCATCTAGATATCACACATAATAATTAATCTTCTATTACTTAAACAATTCATAGAAGAATTAAAAAAAAAATATCTATCTGAGATGTTTCGTCCCATTTATATAATTCTGACGACCTTACTATATTTACGATGTATTCATTCATGCTAGCAAGAGCATGCGTATATGCGAATATAAACTACGATTTTATCAATGAACTGTTATTTTTTGTTTTTTTTTAAAGGAATGTAGAGTCTATTATTTCATGAAAATGAACGATTTGGAACTTTCAAAGCATTTAAACAACTTTGCAAACACTATTTTAATGATGTGTAGTCGGAATGTAACGCTACTGCAGAATGAAGAACTAGTTTCTATAGCGGTTTTTATCCGGGAGTGGATGTTGTTCGGTAATGCCTTAAACCTGTAACGATTTCTGAGATATAGCTTATAACTCTGTATACATTGCAAGCAATGTATACAAAAAAACATAATATTTGATATTCTTGCCATAAAATGGGAACATTTGCAATGGATAATACAGAAAAATGCTCAGAATTAAATGGAAAATCGATTTCTTTTGTCCGATTCTTAGCTCTATTTGAGTGAAAAGCGTCACTACTGTCATTTTTCACAATATAAATGATTATTTTGAAAATACCGGTTTGAAGGAATGATCCGAAAATTTGCATACTATTTATTGGTCAAACTATATACATACACACATATCGGGAAAATATTTTTAGTCCCGTCTACTGAGAGGAGTCTCTTTAAGTATTTTACACTTAAAAGAAAAAAAAAATCTCACAAATGTCTGGTATATGGTATTTACACTTATTTCATCGTCTTTGAGAGCATTTTAAAACCTATTTAGTCTGTCATTTTCGTCTGAATACATGCAAGTGTGTGCTGTCCAAAATTATCAGTGATCGACTTAACATAGCGGATTTTAACGGATGCATATTTTGACAGGGTACAATTAGCATTTCTGCAAACTGAGCGTTTTGTGTCTGAAAACAAGTAATTAGTATGTACGTGCCGCTGCAGAATTATTAAAAAATAATCCCGACATATGGCTTTTAACATTTTCTCTTCTAATTCAGAATCAATTTACAATAACTTTACTGTAGAACGATAAAAAAATTTCTGTTCATACCGGAGTATATTGTCATAGTTTATAAATGTATGAAAGAAAATTTGTATTTAAACATTAATAAAGTTAACAATTTTGTAAATGTTAAAGAGGAAATAGCGCGCGCATGTCAACGGTTTGCATATATCATGTCAACAGACAGTCTTCTTTTAGGGGCCAACTTGGCATCTTGTTATGTTCAGTGTTATGTTTAAGTTCGAAATTTAGACTACATCAATAAAACTTTGCAGTGAAGGTATTAAGATATTATTAATTCACAATGAAAATGTATACGCGTATATTTTTATTCAGTTTTTAAACTTTTAAAGATACTTTATGTTTTAATTTTATCATCTCACACAGTAATATAAATAAAATGGATGGGAACAGGAAGGCGTAAATCAATAAGATGATTTTCTCTTTTGTTCAGTGTACTATCATTTACGGTCATGTGTTGTTAAACATTGGGCGTCTCTCTATGAAAAAAATGTGGTGATTAAAGTGTAACAGTACACCGTAACCATAACATTAAAAAAAGGAGAGAATGTCAATTATTTTGCAGGTTTTCTATTTTTGTCTTCCCTAGGCATTAGAGGTTGACCGAAGGTCTTCTGCTCACAATTTTACCACAAGTAATAAATAACTTCAGTACGTTAAAAAACAAGAATGCATAAATCCGTGATAATTGTAAGCTAAGTTTGCAGCCAGGAGTCATCGAACAATTGGGCACCAGCTAGAAACGAGATCCCGTTTCTGTATTGACAGAAACCCTATTGCGCACGCACTCCGCGCCTCGGGCTTAGGCAATGGGCGCGTGTCGGTCACGTGACTAATTTGTTAAGATGAAACGCTGGAGGAAGCGTTCAGTAGGCGTTCTTAAATTGAACAGGCTGATAAAATGACAAAATCGTCGTTTCATGAATTAATCTTTCAATATTATGACAATACTGTGTCAAGATTTTAAATATTTTGTAGACTAACAAATTGCTGAAAAATTAGACCGAAGTCAATTTACAGGATCATCAAAACTCAAATAATAAGTGCTAACATTAATATTACATATATAGGATTCAAGATAAAAGTCTGCCTTTATAAACCGTACTTCTCTTTCCTTTTTTCTCTTTGCAATAATTTAGATTCATGTTTCTATGTTTGTCTTTTTTTCTTCATAATATATTTAACAATAAGCGTAGAAATGTGTCCATAGGACACGGGTGCCCCCACACTCCAACTTATGTCTCTAGGTTAAAAATTTTTTTTGCTACATGTGCCCAAGTTGAAAACCAAAAATCTTTTATTAAGTAAAGGGCAAATACTACAAATACTGAATAAATCCACAAGAAAACCCTATGGTACATAAGTACACTGACCAACATTCTTGTAAACTTTCAGGCCTACAGGTCATAAACTTTTTGAGCTACGTGCAACACAAGTTAAATATTGTAACACAAGTTGAAAATTGCAAATTTTTACTAATTCAAGGGCAATAACTCTAAAAATACAAATATATCTACATAAAAATACCCAGGTGCACAATTTCACATGCTGATCAACATTCCTGCAAGGTTTCATGACTCTAGGTAAATTATTTTTTGCGTTACGTGCGACACAAGGTCAAAATTTGAAATTTTTACTAAGTCAAGGGCAATAACTGTAAAAATACTAAAAATATCCAAGCGAAAATACCAAAGTGCACAACTACACATGTTGAGCAACATTCCTGTAAGGTTTTATGATTCTAGGTCAAATGTTTTGTTAGTTACGTGTGACATAAGTTGAAAATTGCAAATTTTTACTAATTCAAGGGCAATAACTCTAAAAATACTAAATATATCCACATAAAAATACCCAGGTGCACACATTCACATGCTGATCAACATTCCTGTAAGGTTTCATGACTCTAGGTCAAATATTTTTTGAGTTACGTGCGACACAAGTTCAAAATTGGAAATTTTTACTAAGTCAATGGCAATAACTCTAAAAATACTAAATATATCCACATGAAAATACACAGGCGTACAACTTCACATGCTGATTAACATTCCTGTAAGGTTTCATGACTCTAGGTGAATTATTTGTTTGAGCTTCGTGCGACACAAAAAGGGAACGGACGGACGGATGGACGGACGGACAAGGGTAAATCTAACCCCCCCCCTATAGTGGGGGCACAAAAATATCAAACCATAACTCAATACCTTCCTTACTCACATGCATGTAGAAAAAAGAAAAAAAGACATTTGTTTTACAGGGGATACGTTCTAACAGAAGTTTAACGCCGCTCACTACAGAGAGAATTTATTTATTACGGGAACAAATTGTTTCTAATACTTTTTATATAAGACTTTTGCTATATTCTATACGGAATTTATATTAGTTCGATTGTGTTTGAGGTGTGAGCAGTGTTATTTCTGCTCTGAAGATAAAATCGTTAAATTCATTCTTTTTATGCAGTTTGATGGGAAAAAAAGCGAGAAAATTCTATTTCATGTTAACTCTTTTATTCATCATATCATTTGAACTCCAGTTTGTGTATAACATAGAATCTTTAATATACATGTACTATTACATAGCTTAAATAACAACAAACAGAGATCAACACAGTATTTTGTTGTGTGTGAATTCATCTATAAATATCAATGTTTGTCAATTCACTTTTATCTTTATAAACAACAGACATCTTCCTGATTTTACATTTTGTAAAAATAAAAATGTAGAAAAATTTGTTTACCACGATCTAGCTTGAATTATGCGTTTCTAGTTTTTTTTAGGTTAAAAATGACAAAATGTACATATCAATATAATCAACCATTACTTGAGTGTACTCTCATGTGTCTGTTTAAGTTTCCACTCTGAGAGAACCGGAGCAAGCACAGTTTACATTGATAAGGCTTCTCCCCACTATGTATTCTCAAATGTTTGGTCAATGTTGAACTGTCTGAAAATGCTTTCTTGCACAGACGACACCTGTAAGGACGTTCTCCACTATGAGTGCGCATGTGCGTTGTGACTGAAGAACTCTGGGAAAAATGGCGGTCACAAACTGGGCAATGGAATGGTTTCTCGCCACTATGCGTTCGCGAGTGAGCCGTTAAATTCGCCGCCTGTGAGAACGATTTGTTGCAAGCATTACATTTGTATGGTTTTTCACCGGAATGAGTGCGCAAGTGAGTTTTTAAAGTGCTTGGTCTCGCATATGTTTTCCCGCAAATGCGACACAAGTTTATTTTAGATGGATCCGGGCTATGAGCAAGATGAAGTGGTTTGTCATCTATGAACTTTCCACTTTTAAACTGCGTCGGTGAGTAGTATCTCTGTCCCGTCCTGAACTCATCTGCCATTTTATAATAAAATCCCCTATTCTCGGAAACTCCCGACCGGAAGTCAGACGAGAAAGAATAATGTTGAGGGTGATAGCTCTGAGAGTATGGGCTATATTGGGACTGGAACGATGTATCATGGGGACTATGCTGGTATTCTTGACCCATGTTGTAATGCTGAGATGACGATTGCCATTGCTGAACAGGGTTGCATGAATTATTTCCGAAATTTGGAGGAACTACATTCATGCTCATTGACACATTAACACTCATCGCCGGAAACATGCTTGGTTGCTGAGAATTGATATGTTCGCCATGCAACTGCGCATGCACCGATGGGTACTGAGGACTTCCTCTTCCGGAGTAACTCATAGGATGAACTTGCCCGCCATGGTTCACGGTGTATGTCAAAGATTGTTGATTGTGATTGTTTAAACCACTTGGGTTTAAGGGACCAAGATGCATTGCTGGTGAAAGTGGTGATAACTGACTTCCAAATGAAGGGTGCACGACAGCGTTCTTCAGTGAAAGAAGCGCGTCTGTGACGTCATGGTTTTGTTTCTCTTTGAATACAGTAAATTCTCTGAAACGAAAAGTTAAAAAAACTGTAAGACACTCAACAATTATTTTTAGAATTCATTACAGTAAAGGTTTAAACATTTATACGTAAATTAATATAAATATATCATGTATAGGAAAGTATGTTTTCTGTTTTAAATTTCAGTACATAAAACAATCCTGGACATTTGCAGACAAGTGCAAATTAATATAATAGTTTAACCACATAATACATTGTTATCTATACACGGTGTATAAAAATATTATATATTTTTAGCTAAACTGTTTAAAAAATAAAACATATTTTGTTTCACAAATATATACTGAGTTGCAAAAGAAAATGTGCACTTGGTTACAGGAAAAAATTTGTATACTTATTTAAATAACATATTAGCATATTTGGTATCAAAATCTGCAAAAATGTATTAACTACACGATGATTTATATTTAATTTGATTATAATAAGAACTTTGGTTATGTGTTGACAACCTAGTTTTGAAAAATAAATATTGCAGAATTGTGCTTTTTGTAAATGCGTTTTGCCGTTGAATACTTGAAATTTTCAATGAAAAATCATTCAAACCAAATTCCATATGACGTTACGTCATTTCCATGCAGTCTCGAGCCATGCATAGACGTAATTACCCCCCCCCCGCCCCACTCTTTGCAACTTTAACTTTTCGCTGGTCCGCTATTTACACGAAGCCATTCTGACGAAGAATTCTGACATTCTGGTGAAATAAAGTTCAATACAAAAGTAATCATTAGTGTGGACAACAGATTTCTGCAAATTTAAATACCAAATTCGACTGGCCATTATTTTACTCAAGTCAAGTAAGAATACACCATTTTCAAGTAATCTGGTGCACACTTTCATTTGCAACTGAGTACATACAGTAAGATTAAGAAAATAAATGCTGTAAATAATTGAATAATTATTTTTCTCTGTCAATTTAAAAAACAAAATATTTATAAAAAATACAGAATGGTTGGAAGAAAGTTAAGCTGCGAAACAGAAATGCATGTATTTGTTTGCCAATATCTTGTTTTTTTCTCTGGAATTTGTGTCTTTTATACGATTTCCATCTTCACTTACATCCATCTATTACTACATTTCAATAATATAATTCATCATGCAAATTTAAGGCAAATTGTTAGACTTAATTAAAAAATATCTATGTGCTTTATGTAGTTGATGCTTATTTTACTTCATTAAAGTCTATTATTGTCTAAAACAAGTATACACATGAACTATTTTCATATATTAGACCGAAACATACAAATCTAAATCAAAGAGATATACCTATTATTTTAAAGAAGCACCAGAAATATCCGTTTGAGAATAACGTAAGAATTAGAATAAAACACCAGCAGACTCGGGCAGTAAATCACCTTCTTACGTCAAAATGAAGTTTCAAACAAGCATCAACATAATCATGCATTTTATACCGCTAAGGAGACCCCGGGTCACTCGTCTCAATTTACAAAATCCTAAAAGCTCCTTAACAAATACCCAAATATTATATCAGTATTAATTACACTAGTTAAGAATGGACAGTAGCGTGTCCGTATTGATTTAGAATAAATAAAGTGACCACTTGGATCGCGACCATGTTTACTGTCATGTTAGTTTTTTGCCTAGTTCACACATCAGGATTATATGTAATTAATCTGTCCCTGGAGATCTTCTTGTTATTTAATGTTTTAAAGGAACTGAGCGCAATATATCAGGCATTTTCAGGAGAGAAAAATATCTGGACACAAACTATGCATTAGAATTGGCTTCTAAACTGAAAATGAACAAAAATTACAAATATTTGTAAAACTCATTCATAGTAGAATTTTTAATTTCGATGCAAAATGCCATTTGCTAAACAATAAATTTCGTCATGTATCAAAGTAATCGAGTTATATTAATATACATTTGTACTACTCGTAACTGAAAGTTCCAGTATCAGGTTTATTTGCAGTTATGTATCGCAGTTTATCACACACCCGTGCCGATTTCGCGACTCCGTAAAAATGGTATTGCACGGCCGTGCATATATTTTGACGTGACGTCATTAGCGTAATGCAAACAGAGTGTAAAGACGCGCTAAATATTAGCGTTATACTACAGACGCGTCAATGAAAAATGACTCTTATTTCACTTTAAACGGTCTTTTTTAGGGGTATGTGATAAAAAGAATATTAAATTCGTGTAAGTTCTTTACTGAATTGAATAAAATTATATTATGCGAGCCTCTGGCGAGCATGGAGGCTCGCATAATATTTTTTATTCAACTCGTGCAATAAATTCAGTATTGAACTTACACTCATTCAATACCCTCTATTTATCACACACCCGTGCCGATTTTGGGACTCTATAAAATGGTATTGCACGGCCATGCATATATTTTGACGTGTCGACTCATTTGCGTTATACAAAAGCGTTATACAAAAATAGTGTAAAGACGCACACAATGTTTTCTTGCATCTCAGACAGGATTATCTACCGTTTACACCGGTGCAAGAAAACTCTGTCTTACACCCCCCATGTAAGACAAGTCGCGTGCATTAAATAACGTCATTGACGCGCGCCATTTATGAATTAATCGCGTTCTTAGGATGACGTCATTTTTCCGTTATGAATGAAGTTGTAAGTTCATACGCTACTATAAGAAAAAGGTGCGTAATGAGAATATCAGTTTTCATAATTTCGTTTCCGAAAATAATTGACATGTAATATGCAAGAAAAAGAATCAAACACCGGCTGTTGGTACAGACGGGAATATCTAGCTCTCGGGTAACTGTTAAGCGTTACCGCCGTAAACGGTTACCCTCGAGCTAGATATTCCGGTCTGTACCGGCAGCCGGTGTAAGATTCTTATATTAGCGTTACACTGTAGGCGGCGTCAATGAAAAAATAATTCTTTTGCACTTTAACAGTCTTCATTTTGGATATGTGATAAAAAATAATATTATATTCCTAAAGGTTCATTACAGAATTTTTTGAACTTGTTGAATAAAATTATATTATGCGAGCCTCTGGCCTTGTTCAATAAATTCAGTATTGAACCTAACCTAAGTCAAAATCCACTATATAGTAATCTTATAGTACCTTTAGTGAACTTTGTTTCAAAATTAAGCTGTATGACATTGACCACCCTTAAGACTTAGTTTTTATATTACATGTACGTTTTTGGTCATTGGTCAGTTCATACATTGTAAGGACTAGGTCCCTCTCGTAAACAATACTCTTGTTTAAGATGGTCAACAGATTTGACCGTTTACTTTCTTTGGACAAAAGAAAAATGGTCATCTTTTAAGCCATGTTTACTTTTTCTTATTAAGTGGGTACTTGAAGCAGAAGGTCTATTTTAGACAGATAAGTGTCAGATTTACCATTATATCCTAAAATCACTATGTAAGGGGTGTTTGTAAAATGTGAGTATACATAATTTTATTTAATTTATCAAGTTTCCAGAGCTTACCAAAGAAAGCATGTTAAAGCATGTTTAGTGAAATACATGTTCATAAAATCTAGATACCATGCATGTTAAACAAGAAGAAATAGTTTCGATGTTGTTCTTTACAAATGTAATATTTAAATACAAATAATTTTAAATAGCATAGGCAAATCTGTTTCCTTTCTTTCTTTATTTATCTTTTTATTTTTATTTGTTATTTATTTATTTATTTATTTATTTTTGTAAATAAATAGAGGACATTCAAGTTCTTGTAGTATGAAAATTATCTTATTTCACTCGTGGCTACCGCCACTCATAAAATATTAAGTTTCATACCACTCGATGAAAATTAATCCTGTATTCATAGAAAAAACTTGAATTTTCTGTTTATTATATACATTTTTCTCTTTTTGATGTTAAAATTTGAAAGACTTTCCCTTAAATATTGTGTACTGGCAGAATTTAGAAGAATATAGTCCGACAAGACACCAGTGAAAATATTTAAACTAAGTTTCACTGCTGCGGTGAAAAATAAATTTTTACCGTGAAAATACGGAAAATGAAAATATGCATTTTGTTTCATCAATATTTCTCAATATTTCATTTTTAAGTATATAATAAAATGAAACTATAAATATTTGTTTACCTTGTGTGTTTTCATATATATTTTTTCTTAAGCTTATTTGTTTGATTTCTCCACAGAACATTTAAAGGAATTACAAGTTTTGCAACAAAATTTCCTAGAAATTTGAACATATAAGTGTGTTAGTTAGTCATACAAAAATGATTTCATTATAAAGATACACATTTTAAAAGTATATATGCAGTGTTTCTTACATTATATGAAAAATATAAGCAAATGTTCTTATTATGAAATGGACTAAGTTGTAGAGTTTTTATAGATCATAACAGAATATGATTCTTATTAAAGTATCAAAAACATGTATCTTGTTAATACAACATTAAATTAATTCCATACACTGTAAAGTTTTTTATAGACCTGAAATAAGCATACATTAGGTCAACAGGCCGACTTATACTTTTCAATACAAAATATCGCATGTATGGACAAGGAATTTGGTTCATTACAAGTTTGAAAAGAAAAAACAATAACATAATATTATTTTTGATGGCTAAACACTACTAAGAATGTAAGAGCACCATATGTATTGATTCGTGAACATTAGTCTGTTTATTTAATATTTTATTTACCAAACTTTTTTCCACCGTAAGCACATTACGATAGTTAAAGGTATACTATGCCGCAGGAACGAATATAAACTGACTTCTTTTAGAAAGGGCAAACATGAATTTGATCAATTTGAATAATGATTTTAGAGCATGTTAGATGCTTGTTGTCTAAAGAAAGTAGCGATTCTAAATCCATACAACTGTACTAATTGCCAAATAACAGAAGTAAAAGATGGTTAAGTTAATTGGCCAACGAACTATAAAGTACGCCAAAAATAAAAAATAAAAGACTAAGACATAAAAATAGAAGCGTTTCTGGTCATAATGGGCCTTGAAATCAAAATTAGAAAACAAAAATGGTTATAGATTTGCGTGCAAATTATATAAACACCTAATTCATATACATAGTTTAGTTTTGTTCACACCAGAACAGAATCAACGCAATAAAACCCTTATTTGAAGAAACAACATAAAAAATAATAATGTGTTAACGTATTGGTTGTATAAAGTATTTTATCAATACATAATGTAAAAAAAATCTAAATACGAACTTTAATCGCACTTGTATTGACTTTTAAATGAAAAATTACCACACGCTTACGATTTAAGAAAAGAAAATAAATTGTTAAAGAGACTCCACTGAGGTTTTTTTACATGACGGGACTCGTTCTAACTTATGTGCACATTTTCAGATCATTAGCCCGCTCCGTTTTTTTCCAGAATAATCATTCTAATTGAGAAAAATGACTTAAAATTGAAAAGCTTGCAACGCTTTGCACTCAAATCGGACTGAAAATAGCACAAACATACGATTTACAATGTATTTCTGAGTATATTTCTGACTAACACATGCTTATGCACAATGTACTTTATTACTTTTCTTTTACACGGAATGTTGTCTACAAATAAATTGATTACAGTAATTCATTGTCATGCAATAACACACAAAGTATAGACGTATAGACATATAAATTCAACAATTCTATATCATTTTTATGTAATAAACGGGTTGGCCTCTGCATTGTACTATTAGTTTAAAAAAACGTTAATTACTTAACGTCATTGCATATCGATTCTAATCGCATTTTTTAAAAATTCACTTTCTTTAATTTATTTGTTTAAAAAATATTCACTCTTATTATCATGTAATTAAGGCACAGATTGTCTATATTTGCGTTTTATTTAAATTTTATGATATGACTGTTTCCTTTTAATATCATAGAAACTTCAATAGAAAAAATGTGTATTTCTACATTATAATTATATAGAACTGTGCAGTACCATTTTTTATCTCTTGTAATTTAATGTAATCTTCAACTTGTAAATAATTATTAAAGCGATCACAGATGAGATATGTTAACATTATTAAATATTGGCTTAAACTGACAATAATATAACAGCACGTGTATAGAACTGCATACGATGTTTAATGGGGGGAGAAAAATTGTTTGTTAAATGTGATAAAATCATTATCTGAGTATGGTTTTGCATATGTGTGGGATTCACTTAATACCGTTTGTGAAAATACTTTTATTTTATATTTTGTTTTTAACAACGAATTATCTATAGTTTAGTTCAAGGGTGGCATGTAAATAAAGAAAACAGTCCTGTAAATAAACTAATAAACTCGCATTCTTTGAAAATACAAACAGGTAGCCGGAGAATCGAGTGAAATCAACTTTTGTATATTCTGTGATAAGCGCTACATTGAGGACGAATATCATTTTACAAAAATGTATTTTGATTTGCCCATGATATATTGATTTAAGGAAATTGTACATAAAAAATATTATTATGTTAAACCAAAGCATGCTTAAATTTATAGAACTATCAAAAATGATCAAAGAACAATTCTCACAAATTTAGCTATTTATATTAAAAGTGCTATGACTTTAAGAGCATCTGCTACACATAAAATATTTTTAAGTCCATCATCTTAGAATAGAAAATGATGAATATTGTATGATGAAATATCATGTAATTGTACTTAATGTAAATGTGTTAATGCATGTGTTATTGTGATTCGATACTTATAAACACTGGTTTATCATAATATAATAAAATAAAAAATAAACAAAACTCCAATAAAATTTAAAGAAAAACAGGTTTTTTTCAATAAACATATCTGATGAAGAATCTGAGATGAAGAATGGATCAGTGCCTGGCTTTTTTGTTCAAGTTAAAAAAAAAAACAGAAACAAAAATCTGCACACTTTCACAATCATGAAACATGGTCATACAATATATTACGATTTTTGATTCTAACATTAAAACATTGGTATACACTCCAATTAAAAAAAATAGTATACTTTAGAGACAAGTTTCATATAATCTTTACCTTGAAAAAGGGTAGTGCATATCTAAAACTAGTAGGGTTTGATAAAAAAAATTAAGCTTGTTTTGACTGTCGTGTGTTCGTCTAATATTATTTACCATCTCATATTAGTTGCTGTAGTTATTTAAAAAAAGATAAGTTCAAATAAAGTTAATGTTTGCAACCAAACTAAAATAAATGCCTGAAGATTTTTATTTTTTCAATTGGACAATGCTTTTCTGTGACTGTAAGTACATGTATATCTTATCTTCAACAATATACTTACTTGTAGGGTGGAGAAAATGTTAGAATATTTGGAAAGTTATCCGCGTCGTATCCCCCTTGTTGGTTATAACTTCCGGTATTCAACATAAGAGGTGACCGGGATGCTATCTCAGAGCGATCAGGGGTAGCCGGACGCCACATGTCGGGGTACATTGTTGGGCTCGAACTTGACTCCATCATATCCGAGGCCTGAAATTAAATTAAAAACTGGAAACTTTACGGGTTATGACCTTAGCAGTTTCAAATACCTTTTACATTGCGCCCGTCATATCAGCTAGTGAATCTGGATGAATTTTTTTTTAATTCAAATAAATCTGAGACACCAACATCTCAAGAAAAGATGGCTAGAATGCATATTTACACGGAGCCAAATTCATCATTATTCTGTAAAATTTAGACCTACACTTTATAATGCTAAACACAAATAATATCTTTTATTTCAAAATCCGTCTAATTTGGCAAGCTAGATAACTTTTATTTCAAAATGAATGCATGAAACGATATGGTTGTATTATCATTTATGAATGATTGTTTTATTTAAATTATTTTATTTTTCAGTTTTAACTGAAATATATGAATCAAAATGTTTTGTCAATGTAATTCTGCTGCCGGTTATTGTTCATACATAAAGGATTTTAAAGTTTTTGTTACTACAAAAAACGGGATTTATTTTCATCGAGTGTTATGTAATATGATGATTTTCATACCATATGAAATAAATCCATATTTATAGTAAAAGCTTGTATTTTCTGTTTATTATATACTTTTTTGACCTTACGATGTGAAATACTTCCCGTATAATTTTTTTTGCATTGACTGAATTTTGAAGAAAGTAATCCGGCAAGACACCAGTGAAAATACGGAATATATGTTTCAATGAAGTGAAAAAGTGAAAATACCCATTTTATTTCATCAATACATGTATTTCTCATTATTTCATTTGTAAGTATATAATAAATAAATAAGGTTTTTATAATGAATGTACACACTATAAAATTAATATGCAAATAAAGTTTTACTTAGAAAATATCCAATCTGGGGTTTAAAGTAAAATTATACTTGTATAAAATAAAACGTAAATAGTGTAAATAGTACATTACTAATACGTACCCTTCTAAAGTTATCATCTGCCTTCAAAAACCGCCCTTCTTCAACGGAATATACCATTTCTAAAAAGAACTTATTAATTCCAATTCATATGATCATCAACATTCAGAACTGTCCGATTTTGAAGACATGTAAATACTTTGTCATAAGATTCATAAAAATATTGCAATGCTGTTGTTTTTTACACAGACGACGCCGATGATATTGTTTTTATTATTGTCATAAACGTAAAGTGTGAATGAGCTCTGAAAAGAAGCTCCAAAACACACTCGCTTCCCTTCAAGGATTCTTATATGGATTTACGCAGACGACTTTTCTGTCGGCAAATCCAAAATTGTTTTTTTCGCAGACGACAATTTCAGCATCGTTCCTATTGGATACGAAGGAATCTCTATAGACTATCTTTCCTGTGAGAAAGACGGCATTGAAAATAGGCGGCGCGATGGAAAAGTCAAACGACCAATACTCGCTCAAGAGAACACTAGAGGTGATTATAATATTTAATGAAGACGATTATTGTTATGTAGGTGTGAAAGTTTGGGGGTTTCTCCAGGCCTGCAGGTCTTACAAGTGGTCTTAAAGTATAGTGAAGGGTTTAATAACCAAACAATTCTTACATAAACACAATGCTGTGTGCCATATTCAAGACAAATAAAACGCAAAACAATGTCTGTATCGGATAAATTAAGCACACAATTTTGAGTTTAAGTGAAAAAAGGATTTAAAATGTACCACAAATTTAAATACAATATACATGTATATATATTTACATCTCCGCAAATGTTTGAAAACAAAAACATTGTATATGAATATTTTCACAGTACAAGAGTAACAGCAACAAATTTGAGAATCATAGTTTGTTTTACAAGTCATATTAGCCAGGTATTTTTAAGACTTCTGAAGGGAAATATAGCACAAAAAAAAACAGAAAAAAAGGAAGAATGTGAAATCGTACACCAACAACTTAGAACGAAACATAGCCACACATTCAATCATATGTTCAATTTAATTTAAATTTAACAATCTAGGTACATAGCAAGGCTATCTGTAGTCTGTCTTTTTGTCCATTGCATGAAAATTGACCAACAAGCTGATCTAGAACAGCTACTGTTCTGGGGACAAACTATGCACAGGTCAAGACAGGGGGGAATATAGCTTTAAGGAGAAAGTATAGCATATTAGGGTTAGGAGAAAAGTCCTTTATTCGACTGTAAAATATAGGGAAAAATACTATTATCATTCTGCGTTGATGAACATGAACTTGTTAACAACGTGCAAAGATTTTTTACTTTTTTTTTAGCTTTCTGTTGGGTGGAGGGGAAACTGAATCGCTGTAAATAAAAAAGTGTGTGCGTGGGGTGGGGGGAGGGGGGCTGAAATTAAAATTATTTGTTAATTTAGTCTTTTACTGCAGTTACATAACCTTTTTTCTGTTCACGGGGAAGAACAGGACTCCATTTTAGGGGGAAATATAGCATTTTTTGCTAGAGGAAAGAGACGGTATGAGGCTGTAAAATAAGCAAAAATAAAATCACTAAAAAGGCAGAAAAGCGTGCGAGTTTTTGAAACTTCTTACCTATAATTCATGTTTTTTAGTTTTGTTGTCTTCTTGACATTGTTGATATCTACTTGATCTACTTGTTGTTGTTTTACTTTACTCTATTTGAGGATACTATTTGATGTATTAATTTCATTTTATATGGCATTATATTGGCACCGCTGGTTATTAGATAAAGTAATTAATCAGTGTGACTCCGACCAGTAAACAACTTTCATTTTCAATTTTCTACAATACGGATGTTCCAAAAATAATGTCATTTATACTTTTATTTAAGAAATAATAGAAATCCCAAACTGTGATTTTATCGCTCAATAACATCACTGTTTGGAGTTCGGATGCGAGGAATTATATCACGAGGGCGTAGCCCGAGTCATAAAATGATGCGCATCCGAACGACAAACAGTGATGTTATCCAGCGATAAAATCACTGATTTGGATATATTATTTCGATTCTAACACGACATTAACAAATAACTGCTGCCGTACCTGATATTAAGCAAATTGCGCCTGATTTGTTTCCGTACTTATTGTCAGCGCGTCGGATTTTATATATTTTCACATTGAGGGCGCCATTTTGTTTAGAAATCTGATAAATAAAAACAATTTTTTGTCGAATTTTGTTGTCAAAACTATCTAGAACGATAGAAAATGGTCTAACTAAGAAAATGAATCCGAACACCAATATCTTTAATTCAGTCGTTAACGCTGTACATACGTTTAAAGTGTTGTTTACGTGACGTCATAATGTAGCGCCAAACAGCACGTGCAAAACAATCAAATCAAGTACGTTATTTAAGAAATAATATATCCCAAACTGTGATTTTATTGCTCAATAACAGTTCGAAGCGTGCATTATTCTACAACAATGCGCTCGCTGTTCTTATTATCTCCCTGTGTATTTTCACATTGAGGGCGCCATTTGTTTGAAAAATCTGATAAATAAAACATTTTTTTGTCGAATTATGTTGTGAAAACTATCTAGAATGAAAGAAAACGGTCTAACTAAGAAAATAAATCCGAACACCAATATCTTTTATTCAGTCGTTAACGCTGTACAGACGTTTAAAGTGTTGTTTACTTGACGTCACAATGTAGCGCCAAACAGCACGTGCAAAACAATCAAATCAAGTACGCTATTTTAATGTCGCGAACGAGTTAAGTTTTACATTTATTTCACTTTAAAAAATATAGAGTGAAATAAAATAAACAAACACAGTTTTATCAACGTTTTCAAAATGCGTTATTCTCAAAATGTTTCTACACACGGAAGATTTAACGACAGTTTTTTCATACCACTGTAACAGCCTTTAAAGAACGTTTCTATTGGAAACTCTGAGGCGAAAACAAATTTAACCACCAAACATAGAGTCCAACTTTATAATAATAATTATATTTTTTCTTGACGTGTTAGAATGGAAACAGATATAATTATATAATTATTATATTACTACGCGTTTGAACTCAAACCGTGCATTATTCTACAACAATGCACTCAGAATTGATAATAACACACACTTTCGGTTCTTCTATGTTCAATATGGAAAATGCAGGTCGTGTTAGAATTCACGACAATCGTGGCGAATGTGTCAATAAAATTAACACTGCAGCATACCACTTGAAATTATCTCAAATTTTCACTGGCATTCTACAGTGCACAGTGCATTCATTACACTCTACACAAAATGACCAGCAAAAAAGAACTACAAATGCGATTGGAATAAGGACCTATATGAAAAATAATTCGCTTGTGCGGCATAAAACCTGCAGCTATTCATCGTGCGTACATCTCAATTTGAT